CCAGCTTTGCCTACGCCCTGCTAGAGCCCACGTGAGAAGACGAGCGCGCAGCCACAGAAGTATCCGCCGAGGCGCACCAGCAAGCGGCATTGCATCCAACTTTCGTGTGGAAGCCCTCTCACACCCGAGCCCCTACATGATGAAACGAGCTGGAGCCCGCGACCGCTCCGATTAGCAAAGTAGACCCTTGACCTTCCTTCGTGCTTCCATGCACGGAAGGCCCCCCCAAGCTATACACGCATAGCTACGATCAGATGCTGCGCGGGATAACTCGGCAGCAAGCGCCCGCCGCGTCGGAAGCTAAATCGCATCACGGCGGGCTCCTTTTCATGAACAGAGACCTCACCAAAGCCTTCTTATCATCCGCCGCCTTCTTAACGGCAGGACTCTTGGCCTTGGCATCTTTCTCGTCGGCGTTCTTCCCCTTGGGGCCAGCGAGGGTCAGAGCTTTCGCCGCGGACTGCCTCTCGCTCGGCGCGAGGGCCCAACCGAACTTGATGACCTCCTTGATGTCCTTGTACACGAGCTTGGCCTCCGCATCCTGCATCTTTGCCTTCACTGCCTCGTAGTGCTTCGCGATGGCGGCCTGGCCATAGAGCGTCCCCGCCGCCCCATCACTGCCAGCCGCCTCCTCGAACTCGCATTGGTTTTTGAGGCATTCCTGGAACTTCGTCATGAAGTCCGACTCTTTGGCCTTCTCCAGCCCCGGGGCCGCGCCGGCGCAGATCGCCTTCACGTAGCCGTAAACCGTCGTCCACCATGACTTCGAGGACGCGCCGCAAAAGTACAGCAGCTGGGACGTGTTGATACTCTCGAAGTTCGCCAAGATCTCCGAATCCTTCTTGCGGAGGGGCGGGGTGGGGAAGCACCCGATCACCTTGCCCTCCAAGCGCGACTGCGCCATGGTGCCCGTCACCGCCTCCCAAAAGCCACGCTCGATCTTGCTGAAACGGTCGTTGGAGTCCATCCACGAGCGCTTCTTCTTCATGAGCGCCATGATGGACACTGCCGAGGCCTCGTCGTCATCGAGCGAGTCCGCCAGGGTCTGCCGCACCAACTTGCCACCCTTGCTGATGCAAGCGTCGGATATATCCTTCTGCACGGGCTCTCGCTCAGCAAGTTGGTCCTCGCACCACATCTTTTTCACCTTCCCGTTCTCCACAAGCCACGCGCGGCAGCGTGACTCCACCGCGGAAGTGTAGTAGTCCAAGTGCGAAATGCACGGCGCTGGCGAAGGGGATCCACGATATTTCATGTCGAAAATGCGGACTTTGGGGAATCGGGAGTTCGCGTCCATGCCCTCGTCCTTCATGGACCTCAAGAAACCTCTGACGACTACGTTGAGGCCAGTAGGAGGGAAGGGGAGGGAGAAGAGGACGGAGAAGGAAAAGGAGGAGGGCGGAAGCAGGATCGGGGGAAGGAAAGAAGAGGATGAGGGGGAGGCGGGGGGGGGGGGAGGAAAAGGACGGCTGAAGGGGGCTGCGGGGAGGGGAGTGATATAAAGGAGAGGGGGGGGACAGGGACATGAGACATAAGGGGGAGAAGAATAGAAAGGAGGAGGAGGATTATGCGGAAATCTTGTATCGTCAACGCGACCTGCGCGATTCGTTGCAAGGACCGGTTTGTTGATCCTGGCCTCGGCCTCCAGCGATACGATGGCCCTGTCGACAAGCACCGCGCCGCGGTCAACGTCGATCTGTTTGAGCGCCCGCCCGAACAAGCGCGCCCCGATGAAGCTTGAAGCGGTGACTTTTCGAAGCTGGTCCTGGCAATCCGTCCACTTCCCCTCCTGCTTGAAGCACACCTCTGTCTCGGCCCTCGGGGCGAAATGGGACGCGTAATCGGACGCCTCGCACCACCACTCGTACGACGTCTTGCCCTGCGCCTTGTAGGAGAGCAGCTCTTTCACCACGGAGTAATCCAAATGGTCGTGCATGAGGTCGGTGTACTTCTTGAATTTCTCATGGAGGCCAAGCCGCAGGATGAGCCTCAAGAAGCTCAAACAAATCTGCGCATTGTCCAAGTTTTTCATCGGGGGTGTCTTCAAGACCTGCTGCGCCGCAGCAGCGAAGTTGCGCTGATTCACATCAGCAACGTTCTCGCACCAATCGTGCCACAGGATCAAGCAACGCTTCGTCTCGAGCAGGTCCATGATCGCAGCCTGCGGACAGAGAACAACAAAACACGTACCAAAGACCAATGCATGTTTTAATTGTGTGCATTGTTTGATAATGTTGCCATTTTGGCTTAGATGGCCGATGATATGATCAAGGCGGCCTCGAGAGACTCGTCCATCTCCTGGCTGTCGTCTTCGACTTGCATTTGTGCCAGGGGCGAGTTGGGATCCTGGTTCTTGATGCGAAGGTCGTTGTAGTACGTTTTCCCCATGGTTATGTCCTCGCCGTCCAGCTTGCGCAGTTTGTCCCTCTTGACCTGGTCAAACACAGTGCCCTCAATGCCGAGCTTGTTGACGTGAGTCTCCGTCACGGTCCATCCGGGGAAGTTGTCGGCCACGGCCTTCTCTGTGGCCTCGTCGATGGTGCGCTTGCCCTTCTTGGCGCGCTGGGCCCCCTTCTTCATCTCGTCGAGGTCGTCCTTGTCCTGCAGCCGCTTGGTGGCCGCGGCCTTGGCATTCGCCTTTCGGGCCACGGCGGCTTTGGTTGCCTTGGCGGCCTTCTTGGACTTCATGGCCTTCACCATGCTGAGGCCGCTGTAGGTCTATGTTGCTTTCCGAAGCGTTGTGCCACGACGCCCCTTGAGACAAAAACGGCTGTGGAGGGGAAGGGAGGAGCATAACGGAGGGAGGAGGAGGCAGAGAGGGGCAAGGGGAGGAAGACGAGAAGGAGGAGGGAGGAATCGTGGCCCCTTATCTCCCATCACCCGCCAGCTGTGACAACTGAGGGGCACGAAAGATGTCAATGAGGTGCCGCACATATTTGCGCTGCCAGTCGGGGGCACGATGTACTGGCATGCTCCGATATGCTCCAAGAGGGGCGGGGCAAACATTTACACTGATAGCCTGTCGTTACCGAAGAGTGAAAACGCGGAATGGTCTTCAATCGAGCTCGGCCTGTGGTGGGATCATATACGCCTCAAGTCTTCTCAGCTGCTGGCGCAGACCGGTGGGGAAACTCTTCCAACGGCAACGACCCCCATCGAAGACCTCCAACGGCGCACAAAAGGTTGCACGCACAGCCGGCCAGTGCCCAGCAGGGCCGACAAACACGCATTCATCCGCTGGCGCGCCTGCGCGGCAGTGGCGTGTTACAGCGCCTCCGGACTGTCTGGTAGGGTTTCCGTATTCTGCTGAGGGGCCCCCAAAGACACCCCCGTCCTGGTCTCAGACTTCTGGGTGCCCAGCTCCTCTCTCCTATGGGACCCAGTCCCAACTGTAAATATATGGGCCCGCGCTCCCGAGGCCACGAACCCTCGTAAACAAAATGGGCCCAAACCATCAACGCCAAAATGGCCCAAGATGCCTCCAAGACGGCCAAAGATGGCCTCCAGAACGGCTCAACATTCTCCCTCGTGTGGCCGCATCTCTCCGTTTGGAGCCGGTCGCAGAAGGGAGCGATCATGTATCAGCCGAGGATATGACAGAGTCGTGCTGCAGGCTGCGACTAACCCGTTTTGTCGCTCTGAGCGTCGCCAAGACGCATTGGGGAAAGTCTGTACAAAACAACCGTTTGGTACAGAGTTTCCCCCTTCATGTTTCCAGGGTTGCTTGCACTCGAGGTTGACGCGTCGGTGATCGTCCTAGTTGTGCAGTCCCGGGCACGCACGTCGTTGCTGGCGCGAGTTTTGATGGCAATCTAAACGGTCGCGACCGTTTAGAATGCCATGGCCGCCGCGACCGTTTAGATTGCCACCGCGACCGTTTAGATTGCCACCATACTGTTTCGAAGCGCACTGGCGTCACGAAACTCGGCCCCCAAATGCCTCAGGTGAAGATGCTGAGTTCCACGCTGCCTCCTCACCCTCCTCATCCTCAGCCTCATCCTCTCCTCCTCCCCCTCCCCTTCTCCAGGGAGCGGGGGAGAGGCAGGGGAAACGACACAGCGGGAATGGAGGGGGGCGGGGAGGAAAGGCAACGGCCCCGTCCGAACGGAACACCTCTGCAGGCTCAAAGCGGGGGCTGGGATACGGCAAGGCACTGCGACTGTCATATGGGGGAGCCCACCGCGCCGCCCAGCAAAGAGGGCGGGGAGCGGGAAGGAGGGGTAACTGGAGGGATTGGATTGCGCCCGCCACTCAGCGCAACTTAGCAAGGCAATGCGAAACAGTGCAACAACGGACGTAAAAATCAACACCGCCGATCGTAAAATGGAGCGCTGGAGCGCAATGCAGATGTAGCTGAAGTGGCGTTGGGGCCGCGGGGTCGGGCGGGAGCCGACTCTGATTCCAGCTGCCCGGGACGGCTGGCTTCGAAAATGTCCGAAGATTTGGCGCGGTGGCCAGCCGGGCACGGGGTGGAAACGTAACGAATTTCCCCCCTCGCCACAGCCAGCCCTCAACCTCTTCGGGGTGGAAACGTAACGAACTCCCCCCCTCGCCACAGCCAGCCCAGAACTTCTTCTAGGGGGGGAAATTCGTTACGTTTCCACCCAAGGCACGGGGTGGAAACGTAACGAATTTCCCCCCCTCGCCGCAGCCCCCCAGAAGCTCTTCGAGGTCCCTGGGCCCCCTGATTTTCGATGCCTCTTTGAGGTGCCGTCCCGATGCGCCCCGACAGGGACGCGAGGAGAAAGGGGGGGGGGCCAGAGAGAAGGCCCCCCAAAACTTCGGCCAGGGAGGCGCGGCGGAAGTTTTGGGGAAGAGTTTTCGGGGCCCGATTTGGCCCCCGAGGGAAGCCCCCCACAAAAGAAAAACCTTCTCCCCAAAACCTGTCCCAAAACCTCCCCCAAAATCTACAAGATTGAATTCACTATTTAGAAATATTGGAGCGGGATTTGGGGAGCGTTTTGGTGGATATCGCGTTGGATAAGCGCGCTTGAGCCTCGTCAAGCAACTCCCCTCGGCCGGATCGCCCGCAACTCCCGCACGCGGACGGCGAGCTGCGGCGAAGCCCCCCTAGCAAGCTCAGTCAGCTCGGGCGGTTCCTGATAGCCCTGGATGTCCCCGGCCCGAAACCGGAAATCATCCCGGCAACCGTCATCGAAATACCTCTGGTAAAAATACGACAACTTGTGGATCCATGCGTTCACCATGGTCAAGCACGCCGCTTCGTCATATGAGCGAATGCTGTAGCTCCTGGAAGCCTGGATGCCATACTTCCGGACGAATGCCCGGCCCGGCCCTTTTCGAGCGAACGCCATGTAAGCGTCGAAGGCGACGCCTTTGTTCTTCTTTGTCCACTTACCCCCACGAAGCGTGAAGGTGAAGAGGTCTGGCAAGGGTACAAGGGCGACCTTCTCCAGCTCGAGTCGCCGCTCCCACAGACGCTCCATTGCGTCGATCTCGTCCAAGTCGTCCGAGCCCAGGCTCTGGGCGTCGGCATCGTCCGAAAGCGTGGAGTCGCTGTCATCAGGCTCGCCAGCGGCCCGCTTCTCCCTCCCCTTGGCCTCGGCGTCGCAGTAGAACAGCCACATCGCAGGGTCCTCCATCCATGGATCTGGCGCGGGGAGAGGACCCGGCCCGTGCCCAGAGTCGCCTTCCTCCTGTGCGCCAGCGGTGCCAACAGGGGTCAAAATGTCAAGCAAATCCAGAAGATTAGTCCATTCGCCGTCGCAGCCGATGTACCCGTCCATGCAGATGCAGTCGCTGAGAACCTGGACCCTGTCGACACCGTCGAACACGCCGTCGTCGGAATAGCTCCAGCCGCCGACCCAATCCCATCGGAAGCGGTGGTCGAATACATGCACGTCGGCGGCCGCGTAGCCCACGCGCGGGAGGGCGTCCGCATGCAACTCGACCTCTTCCTCGTGCACCGCGCAGCAGCACATGAGCCAAGGTTGCTTGTATCCATAGACGAACTTGTAATCGTCCTTCTCCTCACCGCGCCACACTCGCAGCAAGCACCTCGAGAAGTACTCGCGGTTGGTGCAAACAAGAGGTACCCAATCTGGATAACGGTTTTTCGGCCCTGCGCTGGGGATGTCCATCGCCTCCAGCGTCTTGATCTTCCACTCCGGTGGCGGCCCCACTGGTCTGCAAGCCCGCGAGCGCAACTCGTCGAGGCGGGCCTCCGACCACTCGCTGGACGCGCACAGGTCGTTGAATTCACTGATTTGGGCAGCGCTGAAGCGGCAAGAGCCCGAGCTCAGTCGCCCAGACTCCTTGGCCGCTTTCTCCGCGAGCTCCCTCTTGATATCTCGCTTCAACTGAAGTTGCTCCTGGAGCTGAGCGCGCACGACATCAACTTTGTCCTCCTGCATGTAGACAGCCATCGACTCGTAAAGGTTCTTCTGCGCCGCGCTCTTGTCCTGTGCGGTGCGCCAAACAGAAGTCTACAACAAACGTTCCAAAAAACTATGGTTGGGGGGGCATCAAAACCTGATCGTGATCATGGGGGGGATCGCACTGCCCATCAGGAAGCATCGGCATCACATGTACGAGACCCCCGCGCTCCTTCCATCTTCGACCATGCCCCTGTATCACAGCCTTCGTGAGCTTGTGGTTGACGTTGTACCTCTGCTCCGAATGGGCCTTCGCCTGGTCGATCAAGGCGCGGACGTAAGCGTGCCTGCCTTTGATCGAGTTGGGCCTAGAACGCCTCAGACGTTCTATTTTCTGGTGACATCGCGCGAGCTTCTTCGACAACGGGCACTCCTCGAACAGCGTGCGGGCCTGCGCCACAGTAGCCCGCGATGACACTCTCCTTCTGCAGTATGCTCTGTGAGCTTTGGCCAAGGACGACTGTGGACTATGAGCTTGTTCCACTTCGCGGGAGGAGTGGGGAGTATTGCCGAGTAAGACGACCGCTGGCTCGAGAGCCTCCTCCGAAACCCCTTGCTCCAACAAGTCGTGCATTTTTTGCGTGAAATGTTCGCCCGGCCGCGGGCCTCGCCTGAGCTCGCGGAGGTTCTCCAACACGTCGCCCCTGCACACTGTCCATGGGGGCCGCCTGTACGTCCGCAGCCGTGCCATCAAATACCCAATCTGCACCGCGACCGCCATGATGATGTCGTGGCGCATCTGGCGAACGCTGCCGTCGCAACACTTCGCAAGGAGAGTGAGCGCATCATCTGACACAGCAAGGATAAAGTCACGCATCTCGTTGATCTTACCATCCATCTGCGGCAAGATTAGAGGCACCCGGTCGTCTTCGAGCACCATGACGAGAACCGATTCACTGAGCCAACTCGTCAAAGCTATGACGATGATCGTGTACAACACCTGGTCTTTGAGCCGTTTGAAACCCTTGATGTAATAGTTCGTCTCACTCTTATCATCCAGCACCTGCTTCACAAGATGTTTGAGTCCAGTGACAGCCCCGCTGGCTAGCGCGCGGCAGCCTTGCCCCAGCCCGCACCACCTTGAATCGCTCCACGCCCGGAACCTCCAGATGTGGAGCAGCGCAGCCGTGATGCGTTTCACGAGGTCGAGTTCGCCCTGCATGTTCTCGGCAACGCACAGGTAGCCGTCCTCCCAACGCAGCTGCAACTCTAGGAAAGCATCCAGCCATTTGCCCGTGATCCCAAGCATTTTGTACATGACCTCGAGCGCGTGCACATCACCGTTCTTAAAGCGAATGCACCTGGCCAAGAACGACGGGAGTTGTCGCACCAACTGCCCAAAACCGTGCCGCAGGCTTTGAAGAACCACCCAGCAATCCTTCATGGTTTCACGATTGTTCACGAAAGACAACACTGACCATTTCAGAGAGTTGTGGCAATCGTGCACGCAGCACGCGACAACAGTCACCCACGTAAGCAACCATAAGAAATCTGCGCGCGCTTCTCCAAGCAACTCTTGCTGATGGACATGGTATGCTTCCGCTCGCTGCCGTAGTTTTCGCCCGCACGCCGGCATCACGGCGCGATCCCAACACCCGTGCTGAATCACGATCCATTCGTGCCCGAGTTGCCTGGCGCCATCCCAAAGATTTTCCATGGCAGTGTAATGTGACCATGCCGTTTTGTCACGTAGGAGCACGGGGCTGGAAAATAACATCTTGGGCCTCTGGTCTGGCACTTTGAGGAACAAGCGATGGTTAAGCCATTCTCTGGATTCCTTCCCCGCCCGGCGGACCTTGAGATCGCCGTAATCCCCTGAGTAGTACTCCGTGGTCGTCAAAGGTGTCGAATCCGAGGTGTACGCCTCTAGAAGAGGCGCATGCTTGTTATCCATTACAAAAGTCTGGCACATGAGGAAGAGAAACTTTTGAAGCACTTCGCAGAGCTTGTCGCATTGTCTGACCTCCGACCCCGTGAGGCATCGCCGTGTTTTGGATAAAATCAGAACGTCGTCGGATGGCTTGACATCTGCATCCCCCGATTCAGATGCTGACATGTGGTAGGAATCCACTCGCCCACTGCCCCAAAGCACGGCTTTGAGCCAGAATGGTTGCGGGAAGTCGGGGGAAGAGCATTGGAGGAACGAATTTCCCAGACAATCGACGCACATAGGATTGGTGGGACCCACTACCACCCTCGCACTAAGCATCGTTATTGTCGTCATCATCCTCTCTGTATCTACCACAGAGCTTGTTTGAGTGGGGGCTGGACTCCGCCGCCGCGCCTGCGCGGCAGTGTCAGGTCAGAATGCCTGCGGACTGTCTGGTAAGGTGCCTGGATTCTTCTAAGGGCCCCACCCCGTCCCGGTCGCGGACTTCTGCGTGCATCTCCCCTGTACCGCAGACCATGTACCCCGTAAGAATGAATGGGTCTGCGCTCCCGAAGCCACGATCCATCGCGTAAAACAATGGGCCCCCGCCTTTGAGGCCAAGATGGCTCGAGATGCTTCCAAGACGGCCCGAGATGGCCTCTGAGACGACCCAGTTTGGATTTGAAACGGCCCAGAAAGCCCCGAGGGCCCCTCTCCCGACGGATCTTGGGCGCCCGAAAGCCCCTTCCCCACAGCCCTGGGCGCCTCGGGGCCTCTTCCCCCGAGCACCCCGGGCCCGCGGCACGGCAGCCGAAGTGACGGGGGCAGCTAAATTGCAATGTGCCCCAGAATTCGTCTAGTAGGTGCTGGGGCTGCCTGCCGCAAATGCTCTTCAGCAAAAGCCTGGGGTGCGTGCCCTAGTACGTGCCCACTAAGGATCTGAAAAATACTACGGCCAACCTGTGCATCGCTAAACTCCCCTCCCCTGGGTTAGGATGGTGGGCGGGCGAAACACCCAGCACATCACAAAGCACATCGTAGGTACACAACCGGGCGCAACATCACGCCAAGAGAGACGACACACTGACCACACCACCAGGCACAGCACCAAAGACACACAAGGCACTCCAAATACGCCACTGGACAAACCAGGCACGCCAAGTTCACCAAAGACACGGGGCACACCTCAAGCACACCATGAGCACACAAGCACTCAGACACGCGAACAAGCATGGAGACAATTGCGCTATTTGCAAAGTGGGTCAACACATGTTTCGCGCGCTGGCGGGACACTTTTTGTCACGGTGGCCTGGGGGAAAAACCTTCATTTCTCTTTAAAGGGAAACGAGAAGTATTCCCCCACCCATCCTGAGCGAAAGAGCTTCGCCAGCACACCGAAAAAACCGCACCCTCCCTACAAAAAGTGGAAGTGACTTCGCGCGCTCGAATGTGCCTGCGTGCTTGCGTGCTTGGTGTGCTTGGGGTGTGCCCGCGCTGTGTTGCGCGCGCGTGGTGAGAGCGCGTGCGTTTTCACTAACGGCGTCACGGTAAAATTGTTGAGCAGCATCATGAAGCGGAAACCCTGAACCTTGGGGTACGAAGACAAGTTCTGCGGCGTTAAGCGGCAAAGCTCATCAGAACCCATTTTTCGAAAAAGTGACAGCATTGCCCACTTCTAAACGTAGAAAAATATGCAACACTAAGAGAATGATTTCGCTGCTTCCAAGATTTCGACGGACATGCTGGCGACGGAATGTGCACACTTGCGCACGCACGCAACCACACATTACCAAACACACACGCAAACGCACACGCACACAAGGCACACCACCCGCCACACCACCTGGCATATCACCCCCGCACACCATCGGGCACGCCACCAAGCACACCATGGCACCACGAAAAATGGCACATTGACCACACGACCAAGCACACCAGGACTAAGCGCACAGAAGGCACACCAAGGACACAAAAGGAGACACCAAGGTTCTCATCGTGGCCCGTCGTCTTAATCGTCATAGTCGCCCGATCAACCCGGTCGCCGACTCGGTCGCTCGCGCGTCGTGCTCGCCCTCGCCGCCGTCACCACCGTAGCGTCGTCGATGGTCGCGTTGCCCTTTCTGCGTGGACATTGCGTCCCTTACGGGGTGCGCGCGAAGCCGACCCAAACGTCAAATCTCATCCTCCCCTCTCACTCCCTTGTACCTTCCCCATCCCTTCCACTGCCCTTTCTTACCCCGCCCTGCTCCTTTCATCCTCCGTTCCCCCTCCGTTCCTCCTCCGTTCCTCCTCCGCTCCTCCTCCATTTATCTTCCGTTATTTCTTCTTTCAAATCTGAGCAGGCGTTGGTAATCAAATCGCCGCGCTCGCTCCCTGGCACGCAGCAGCAATTCCGCGAGCATACACCGCACTGTGGACAACAACAAGCAGAAGGTGATTTTGAATCTGGCGTGGCGAATTGCGGGTGCGAACTTATCGTTCGATATACGCGTGCATTTTGTCGCGCCCGAACTGCAAGGTAATCGCAAAAAGTCAAAAGTATTGGGGAAGGTTTTGGTTCTTGGGCGCGGTGCACGCGACGGTTGGAGCAGCCGCCTCCAGCTACGGCCATGCCCCTCACGCCAGGGTGCACCCAGCGGTCATCGGCTACCCGCGTGCACTCGTGCAGGCCCCCCCACGGGCCACTTCGCCCGTGCCAGGGTCCACGCGTGCCTGGGGCCATTATCCAGGCCGCCATGACAGCACCCCCAGCAACCAGCCCGCAGTGGTAACCCCTGCGGCTTCAGCCCAGGGGGCTGCACCAAGCCGTGGCAGGACAGGGCGCCCTGAAGGATGGCGTGATGCGAACGTGCGTGCTTGGCAACCGCGCCAACACACGCCCCCGCCAAACGTGGCCGCAGCGCTGCGCCCTGCCCAGGAAAAACCTGCCCCACCTGAGCGCGAGAGGCAGCCGCTCGTCCCGCTCGTCCTCACGTACACCCAGGCGCACCACAGCGCCTCCCCGCGGCACAGCGAGGGAAGTGCCCATCACGTCAGCCCCCGCCCTGACGCTGTCGACCCTGGCCAGGCTGCAGCCTCGGCGGCGGGCGGCACAGGCGGCTCCCGCCAGCCCAGCCCAACACCCTGCGCAGCGCCGATCCGCTACCCGAGCAGGGCGGACTCTGCGCGCGCTAACGCCCAGGCGACCTCGCCACGCGACCGCCACACGGGCGGGCGCGTCCCGCGCAGCAGGTCCTGCAGCCGCCGCAGCTCGCGCAAGGCCCCTGGGAGCTCCACGAGCTCGCCGCCTCGCGAGACTCAGGCTGATGGCCAAGCCCCCGAAGTGGTGCCACGCTTCGGTGCCAGCGCCATCGAACCTGGCCAGGTCGACCTCGAGCCGACGCCGTCCACGGACCAGGAGCTGCCGCCGCCCACCCGCGTGGTCGTCACCATCGACGAGGCGCCGACCTTCGACCCGTTCAAGAACAAGTACCGCGTCAAGGACCTCGCGGCGGGTTTCGGCGGCGGCTCACCGCTCTCTCCACAGAGTCGTGGCGGAGCCCCCGCCACCTCAGCCGCTGCCGCGGCAGCGGCGGCCCCGCGTGGAGTCAGCCCTGTCCGCAACGCGTGCCTCACGGCAGCGGGCATGGACGAGGCTCAGCGCCAGGCCACCGACCGCGCTGCTCGAGCTGTTCCACCTGATGCTGCACATCACGGTACTGACGGGGCGGGCGCGCCGCCGCAGGACGGACCAGCGGTGTCGCGTGCGCAGTATATGCGCGCGCGTTGCGCCGCTGCCGCGCCGAGCCGCCGCCGCTGGTTTGCTTTTGCTCTTGTGTTCGGCAGGGCGGATCGAGGAGTCGCCTCCCTCTCCCTCTGCTGCCGTCTCACCTCTCCTCCCCTCGTCCCCCACGGTGCAGGAGTGAGGAGGATTTTTCGAGGCAGTTTTGCTGATGTTTATGAACCCCCCCTGGCGCAGTGCCGACCATGCCTCGCCTATACTTCGGGCCTGACGGCGGCTTCAGCCCCGTTCAAGCCAATCTGCAGGGACGCCATGAGCTCCTACTGTGGCCAAGCCTTCTACCTGAGTGAGGGCCAGGCTGCCCTCCACCGTGCGGGGCGTGCCAACCCCAGCTCCACCGACGGAGACGGGCCAGGTCGCTCCATCCACCTCGTCAGCCTCAACATCACTAGTCTCCCAGCGAACTGGCCAACCATCACCGCTCTTGGTGTCGACCACATCGCCGCAGTCATAGCACTGCAGGAGACCCGACATGCCAAGCCGACCAGACAAGCCATCGCTACCAACGCCGCCAATCCACACCACGGGGGATACCACGCCAGTCTGGGACCTGACCTGGATCTGGCGCGAGCCCAGCGCAGAGCTGCCCACGGCGGCACTGACCACACGGTCGTGGGCAACACTGGCGCCTCGGGAGGGGTCGCCATCCT